ATATCAATATTTTTTTTAATTCTTTTTAATATTATATTTATTTGTTATTGTATTACTTCACTTCCATTACACAAATTATGAGTTTGACATATTAATCTGGTCGGCTTGGGCTTTTTTTATTTAATTTTAACTTTTGATATTATATTAATTGAGAATTAGGTTTATTAATTTGTTTTATTTGCTTTTTATTAAATTATTATGATATCATTACTTGAGAATAATATTTAACGGATTAACCACTATTTTTTTTAATTTTATTGTTCAATATTAGATTAGTTAAAAATTAAGTTTCATAATTTATTTTGATTTTTTTCTATAGGGATATTCTAATCTCATGATCAGGATTGTAGGTTTTGATATTTTATCCTTAATTAAATTAAGTTTTTTTTATATTTTATTTTTATAATTTTATTTCGATCTCATAATCTAGGTCATGGGTTTGGTGAATTGACATTGATTATTTTTTATTTTTTTAATTAATTTTATGTTTTAGTCTCATCGTTTGATATTAAATTGATTAATAATTGAGTTTTGTACTTTGTTACGATTTTCTTTCTATATAGTTATTTTGATCTTATGATTCAAGTCACGAGTTTAACAAGTTAATTCAAATTATTTTTTTAGGTAATTTTTTAATTTTATCTTTTAATATTACTTATTTTAATTTATTTTATACAAGTTTATCATAATCTCCTAACATGAGTTATAGATTTAACATGTTAATATAGATTGATCTAAATTAATATAATATGTTATTATCTTAATATTATCAAAATATATAATCTTGAATCTTTTAGTCAAATTATATATTTTATGGGTTATATAAATTATTTTTTAACCCATAAAGTTAAATAGGCTATATCATATCAGCAACACATTATGTAATTTTTTTTATTAAAAAAATATTAATAATATCTAAATATTTTATTATATTTTGAAAAAATCTTACCTGGCCTACATCGTATCACCTGTCAATGATATGATACAAGGCAAATCTTATGACCAATCATCCGTTTGTCCCAGAAAACGCAAACCTGGGTCCTAAGCCCTCTCGCTTTGCTTAAATCCCAACCATAGACTGATATAATTCAATACGCCATTGGATTAGCCCATATATATCATAACTTAGGTTGCGTTTGTTGAAGTGGTCCGGCGTTTGTTGAAGTGGTCCGGGTGGGCTTTTATATATATATATATATGTAAAATTTTAAATTGTTTATAAAAATTAAATTTTAAAAAATAAAAAATATATTATTTTAATTAATTTCTAAAAAAAATATTTTAAAAAACAACATTTACTCGATAAAAAATATTATCTTCAAAGTACATGTGTCAACAGCAGCTAGTATTAATTGTGTCTTGAAATGAATATTTCTCTCACTATGTCTCCCATGGAAAAAAAAAATACTATTTATTATTTTTGTCTGAATCTACAAGAATTTTTTACATCCGTCCACCATGACACGCGAAGGCAAAACTAAATTTTTTGTGATTCAACCATCTAGGTGATGGTCAAGTGGTAATCATGACACCCGAAGACAAAACTAAATTTTCTATGATTCAACCATCCAGGTGGTGGTTAAATGGTAAAGATCTGAGACTAAGGGGTTTGCTTTCTCTGTGGTCTCAGGTTCAAGTCCTTGGTTGCTCATATGATGGCCACTTGAGGCTTATATGGTCATTAACTTCAAGACCCGTGGGATTAGTCGTGGTGCGCGCAAGCTGGCCCGAACACCCACGTTAATCTAAAAAAAATTTCCTGTGACCCGAACAAGAAGAGAGTATTGTCCGAGTCAAGATGGAACCAAATTCAAAAGCATTTTGCATGATTGGATCATACACATCATGCTCATTCTCAGGCGTCACATCTTGTAATAAGAGTGATCTGAGCCAACAAACCAAACAGGAAGTGCAAGTGGGCAAATCTCATTGTCCAATAATTCAAGAGATTATGCCCAACTCGAGCAATGTTCTTCGGCAAGGGAACCCAACTTGGGTGTCTCTGATTTGAGATGACGACTCATAACCTACTATTATTTGAATCGATTAGCATGGTTTTCTTTGCACTCAAATCATTTTGGCTATTTTATTTTATTTACATGTGCATGTCATTGTAGTCTCCCATCATCCTGCAGGCCATTTTATAGGCCACTAGCTTAGTTAAATATTGAAATGTTTGGCCGAGCCAGTCGCTCGTCTTTGGCATGTCCACACTCGGAAAGATTAATCAAAATTGATTTATTTAAAGTGAAGCCCGAAGCCAATAACGTTTTAATAGCAAATTATTTTATTTTATTTATTAAAAATAGGATACTTGATGCAAGACCCGAGTTGCGGGTGAATTAAATCGGGTTAAAATTTCAATTATAGTTAACCACTCTAGTTAACCTTGGGTGCATTTGTTGTGCACTATTATTTCTGGATATAAACATTAAAGAAAAACGGGAGATAGTTTATCTGTGAATATATTTCGACTTTCGCGTATTGATGGCCTAAATCATCGTGAAAGAAGCTAATTTGGTTTGGCTACTGACTAAACAGCACTCTAACTGCTAAAAAAACTCTGCATCAGTCTCTTGTAACTTTTGGTCACAACATAAAGCCATTTAAAAGTACAGCCTCGACACTAAACTAAGGCATGGAAAACGACATCAATCACTCATAATCAGGGTAGGCTTTTAGATTAGTGGCTTTCCACATGCTTAATCACCTTTCTCCTAATTAGAAGTTTTGTCATTTTCTAAGCCTTTCTTCACCCATCATGCAATCAAAGAGCCAAACATAGAAAGGCATCCTCCGCTTCCTCTTTTCTTTTTTTAATCCCCCAACCTCCCCACCTCCAGTACAAAATCATCGGCGTACCTACGTTCAACCACTTCATTGACCCATTTTTAAGAATTGCTTGGGTATTGCCTTTACCTCCATTGTTGCATGATTTGTTCTCTTTGCGCAGGAAAATAAAAACAAAAATCTGAATTAAAGCATATTTTTGTCATTTAAACTAAGTATCCGTACTGGGTTCTGAGGATGCACATGAAGTGCACTCTCGGTTTTCTGATGAAAAACATTTTTACTAGGAAACAGCATATTTCTAAACGGAATCTAAATAAAATGCTTTTCTTTCATGTGCAATTTACTTTCTGCATCGCCTAAGACAAAATATATAGAATATAAAATCTAGGTGCTGGCAGAAAACTTAAGCAGAAAGATCAAAAGCTGATTTCTTACTTGTAGAACTCAGCTTTGGGTCAAGTACGGTGGGGCTTGAGTGTTTATAGATTCTTGCATCAATGCATTTATCTCCTCATTACAACATGGTAAGTACTGAAATTATATCTCAACAATCGCAGGGCAGACTTATGGCATGAACTGATTAAAGGGATATGCCAGCGTACTAAGCTAGACTTGAATAATGGTCATCGGTCAGCGTTAAGCAACCACATTACTAGGGTTAATGTTTTATTTTATATTTTCTCCTGATCAATTTCTTTGTATTCTAATCTGTATTTTTATTGTATGCTAAGAATTTCTGTGGTTGCGACTAGCAGGGCTTAAAAAAAATCTCAAAATAATATGGATTGGTTGAATGTGCTTACAGTGGCTTTGATACCCCACCAGCTTTTTCACACTACCCATGGCTGTTGGTGGCTAAATTTGGTATGCATTGTCCTGTTTTCCTTTTTATTCATGATTTGGCATTGATGCGCTTAGCGCACCACTCATAACCTTCTACTTTTGCGTGCAGCAGAAAATCTTGGGTTCGTTTGTCGACTTTAGACAAGAAGAAGAAGAAGAAGGGAGAGGATGGTGCTATTATTGAAGATTTTCTCAAGTTTTCATGAAGCCCTCTCCAATTTTATACAATTTAATTAATTAAAAAATAAATCAATTTTATTTTGATGGAATATATGTGTGCTACAGCAAAATATCTCTACATCAACAATATATATTATATTGGTAGCTGGAAATTTGGAGTTCAAACATGCAATCATATGTCAAAACCTTAATCGAAATACATCAAACCACAGTGAAACCATTGACGATAAATCTCTAAATTAACAAGAAAGGTGAGGAGATCCATGACGCAGCCTATTCCTTTTTATTTCTTTCTCCTTGCAGTTTTGTCTGTCATTGATTATTTATCCTAACTTCAACGTTTTAGTGGCTCTGAAATTGTAATGGGGGTGTTTGGTTGTGGAGACAGGATTTTGCTGATATCTTGTTTAAAATTATTGGAAAGTGATCTCATGCAGCCTCCCTTATTCTAATCGACCATGTATAAAATTCCTATCGATTTTTCTGTGGACATGTACGTGTCGACTCTTTACAGGGTTTTGCATGAATTCTTTTATAAAAGATTGGTTTTTTTCCCTTCTATAAAAGAGAGACTCGAGCGAGCTACAGGCTTCTTGAAAACGATAGACACTGATAACATTTAAGATATTTATCATTGGATTAAGTGGTTGTTGAAGTATGATTTACAGTATAAAAAGTTTGAACAAGTGATTAATCGGTCAATAATTCACCTAAAATATATTCTCGGCCTGCTTCACTAGTTAGTCTGGAGACTTATTTAAGAATGTAATTATGAGTGTTTTTTTAAATAATTTTTGTATATTAAAAATATTTTTTTTATTTTTTTAAAATTATTTTTTATATCAACACATTAAAATAATTTAAAAATATTAAAATATTTTAATTTGAAATAAATAAAAAAATTAAAAATTAAATTTTTACAAAAATATTTTTTAAATACATTTCACGGCTTGCTTCTGGCTTTTCAAGGAATAGGAGGGGGAGGAGTGGTAGATTTCTTTCTGGTCCAAAAAAACGCGCTTGACATGCTAGTGTTGCGTGCGAATATGGTAAACCATCACTTGGTGACATTTATGGTTGTCTCTTAGCAAATGATTTTATCACATGTACAGCCAAGCCAAGAAAAACACAGCGCAAGTCATTGTTCTTGAGAAATATAACATAAATGATGAAGCCCACACCAGTTATGAGAACTTACATAATTAATTTACCATTTAACAGAAGACAGAGCACATAGATACACAAATCCAAGGCCTTGCACACCATACTTATAGTGAGACCCATTACAAGCCAGAATACTAATCACATTTTCCCTAAATTAGATACATTTTTCTTTTCAATGCGCACCAATTTCTCGTTAATATCATAGTATTATTTCATTCTAGGTCCTAGCTAACCTAGTATTCAACATCATATAATTGAGAAAGAGAAAAATAAAAGGAAGATGGCCCTCCCTTTTCCTCTCCAATCATTGAGACCCTGAAGAAGACAAACCATAAAGTGACCAATTTCCAACCCATGGAGATGGTGATAATCAATACTGAAACAAATCTGGAGATGCCATGATGGGCTGGTTATGATAGATCAAATTTAATGGATTCATGAAGCCATGATCTGCACTAGTTTGGAGATCCTCATGATGATCAATTTCAAAAATCCCATTGCTTGTGTTGATATAATTGAGGATCTCATTGAGAGAATCAAGTCTATGGTTCAGTTCCATCATCTGTGCCCTTAAAATAGAATTCTCAGCCTCAACGTTCAAGAAGTGCTGTGTTGTGACATTGATGGTTGTAAGGATTTGGTTATTGTCCGTCCTTAGCTGTGCCACTTGAGCCGTTAGATCACCCAAGTACTTCTGTTTTCTCATCCTGGATCTCCTTGCAGATTCTCTATTTGACAGCATTCTCTTCCTTTTCCTTTGATCCACCAACATCACCTGCTCTTCAGAGCCCGAGTTCTGCAGCTGAGTGGAACCTGAGGAATTCCCACTAGAGGATGCCATATAGATACAGAAAGACTATATATTTTGCACCAAAAACACTACCACCATGTAGATACAGAGACTATATTTTGCACCAAAAACACTACCACCAACAATAAACCTCAATAAAAATGAGATCTTTATAGGACGGAGAATTCCAACCTTACAGATTTCAAAGACACAGGACCCAGGTAGTGATAATAATATCCAGAGAATTAAGATAATTGTATAGAAATATTCTAACTAATTACTATATAATATAATCCAGGCAGAATTGAGAGATCACTTATGAAAAAACATAGAACCAGTAAAGGAACACAACTGAGAAAGATTGGACAAGGTGGGTTCTGCGTCTGAGAGAGGAATTGATCATAAACCCTGACCGGAGGATTTCACTGACTACTGGAGACATGAACCTCAAACATTAAGATCCAAAACTGCAGCATCAAGATTTTGACAAAACAAGATTTATTTTTGGCAGAGTAACGGCGAGAAATTAATAAAAATTCCTGGGGTTTCAAGATTTTGACTTTCTGGGGTTTCTGTTTTGGACTCGAAAACTCAAAAACCAGGACTCAAAAAAGACACAAACCTACAAGAGAGGAACAGAAGACTGATCAAGAATAGCTAAATTACTTGCTGATGCAAAACCAGCAGAACCTCAGAGCACAAAGGGAGCTGAAAAACAAGAAATCCTGATAACTAAAGGGGAAAGAGAGGAGAAGAGAAGAGGTTTTTGAAGGAATAGAGAAGTCAATTTATAGAAAGAAAGGAGGCGAAGGAGATATAAGAAAAAATAGAAAAAAAAATTAAAACAAAAATGAGAAAAAGTAAAGAGCATATTATTAGCATAGGAATCTCCAATAAGAGTTGAGTTGTTGGCGGTGGCAGTTGATCAGAAATGTAGGGTGGAGCATAGTTGTCATGCATGACATAGGAATTGATTTGGAAGGGGGTTTGGGTAATTATAATATTGGTCCTTTTTTTATTTTATTTTTTTGTGTTAACTTGTTTGAGTTTGTACCACATGATTAACAAGCTCATTAAAATTATGAAAAATTAGGTCTAATTTATTGTTTTAAAACCTAAGCAGGCATGACAGGTAAATTATAAATTTAGATTACTTTGAATTGACAATAATAATAAAGAAAAAAATTTATATCCATTTAATGACGCGACAGAAATAAGTTTTTCAAGATCAAAATTTAATTATTAATATATTTGCTTTTAAAATTTTTACTAAAGTAATATTATTTTAATTCCTTTTATCTAAACAAACCAAGATATAATTAATCAGCCAAGATTGAGTAAATTATTATTTAATTTAATTTAACTAAAAATTGGAGCCAATCAAGATCTGTATCCTGAATTTCTCGAACAAAAAAATTTCCTGACAGTACGGAAGAACCATTTATTATTTTTTGTTTTCTTTCCTTTTATCTAAAAAAACCAAGATATAATTAATCAGCCAAGATTGAGTAAATTATTATTTAATTTAATTTAACTAAAAATTGGAGCCAATCAAGATCTGTATCCTGAATTTCTCGAACAAAAAAATTTCCTGACAGTACGGAAGAACCATTTATTATTTTTTGTTTTCTTTTGGATCCTTTTTACTAAAATTTTACCACACTTTCACTGCTATTACCGAGATTAACCGCCCAAGTACAGTTTATCTTTGACAAGGGGTGCCTGCCTGCCTGGATGCAGCAGGGGAATCTTGGGGATGGAGGTGGGGTTTGTAATTTGTTCGAGGGTGATTCGGACCTTGCGCGTAAAAGAGATGGAGTTTATGTACTTGAGAATTTTTTTATCTTTTTTTTTTTCTTAAAGGAAATCTTTGAAGTTAAAGTTTGCGTGCGGCCGAGATTAAATCTAAGATTTAAATTAGTTTAAGTACACAGTTATGACATCCATGCAGTAATAAAATTTTAAAAAATTGATACAATAATAAATCATGTCCTGCATTATAGAAATGATATAGAATTTAGTTATTCAATTATTCGTATATAATTAGTTATTCAGTAATTCGACTATACAATTATAGTTTTGTTATTATATTTTCAAAAAAGTACTTTTAAATAACATGTTAAATTTATTTTTATTGATTAAAATTAAATTTAAAAAAATTAATACTCAAGCTAGAATTGAAACATAATAAATTATTTCTTTAAAAATATATAACATATTTTTTTCCTCGATACATATCAAAAGTAAATTTTTAATTATTCTTGATTTTTTAAATATCATAAAATTTTTAAACAACTTGAAGAATAACATTAAAGGTAGATTTCTTATTTTTTAATGCCTTTACATCTTGTTGAAAAATACTAACAATGCGCTGTATGTCCTCACATGGCTCCACATTCCCAATACATCGCCTAAAAGACCTCTCCCACGACTCCTTGCAACTCCTTGCAATAAAAAATAAATAAAGGAGTTGTGTTGAAATGGCTCCACGTTCACATGGGATTTGCATATGTAAAAGGTAATTAAAATTGTTATTAGCAACTTGATGAATATATTCATTATTTAACAATATTGAACTACATTAAAAAAAAAAATCAACCTTGGGAACGAACTACCCTTGTTTTTTATAAATATAATTATTATTAATATTTTTTATCATAATTATTACTATTACTATCATGAAAAATAATACTATTATTACTGCAATTATTGGCAATATCAACAATATTTTAAGCATTATTATTGTTACTATTATTAGTATTGATATTTTAATTACTACTATTAATAATAATATTTTAATTATTATCATTATTATTATCACAATCATTACTATTGTTAATAATACAATAAACTATTATCATTACCAGTATTACTATTATTACCACTGTTATTATTGTTAGTACTATTATTAATAATGTTGGTAGTATAATTATTATCACTACTACTATTATTATTATAACCACTGTTATCACTGTTAGTACTATTATTAATAATGTTGGTAGTATAATTATTATCACTACTACTATTATTATTATAACCAATATAATGACCATTGTTGGTATTATTATTATTATTATTATATCAATATAATGATCATTGTTGGTATTATTATTATTATTAAAATAATAAAAATTATAAATTTGATTTGAATGATAAAATTTAAAAATTATAAGAATTTTGACCAAAAAAAGAAAATAAATAAGAAATCAAAAGAAGAAATACCAAATTGAAATAAATATTATTACAATTAAAAATAATAAAAATTTGATTCGAGGGATAAAATTAAAAACTATAAAAATTTTAGCAAGAAAAACCAAGGAACAAAATAAAAAATCAAAAGTAAAAAAGACCAAATAAAAAAAATATTACATATGCAAATCAAAATTAAAGGATCAAATTAATTATAAATAAAAATCTAACAAAAGAAAAAAGAATTAGAATAAACAGTCAAAATTACGAGGATGGATTTTGAAAGACAACCAATGTTAAGGGACAAATTAACTTTTTGGTTGATAAGGGAGAGAAAGAAAAGAAAAAATAGATATAATCATTAATAACACGTACATTTCTTCAAAAATATGGCATGAAAAAGAACAAAATTATATGCTGGAATTATATTTTTAACCACTAGGGGAGCCACACGCACTATTCTAAAGGCGTGGCGACTCCCACGTATATTAACAATTCTTTCAATTTAAAAATTAATATTTAAATGTTAAATTATATTACTATCCCTGACCAAGCACAAAAAAAATCATTGGTGGACGGACACAATTACCTCCATGTCAATAGCTTAATGTGTTTCACTCGAAGGGTAAATTTACAATTTAATTATAAATCAAAAGGTTAAATACCTAAAAAGCTCTTTAATAATAATTTTTTTACTTTTAAGGATATCATAGTTATTTCAATGTGCATCAGTATGAAAAAAAAAAAGATAATAAAATCACAACTCTCAAACGATAATTAAATTAAATTAAAATATCATTTTACTTTTAACAAAAAAAATAATAATCTAGGAGGTTTTTTTTAAAGAATAAAATCATCTTTCTACTATTAAAATCACCATGGAACAAAGACAAATCTAAAATGAAAACACTGCACTTTTGAACTTTTCTTTTAATATATTATAAAAGCACTAGAGCTAAGACATGATGAAAGGGGCGTGCGTCCGTCTTTTCCCGGGTCTGTAGTGCCGCCGTAGTCAGGTTTATTTGTTAATTGTTGTTTTTTTTCAAGTTGATCTAAATTCAGGAAAACGATAATTAAATTAAATTAAAATATCATTTTACTTTTAACAAAAAAAATAATAATCTAGGAGATTTTTTTTTGAATAATAAAATCATCTTTCTACTATTAAAATCATCATGGAACAAAGACAAATCTAGAATGAAAACACTGCACTTTTGAACTTTTCTTTTAATATATTATAAAAGCACTAGAGCTAAGACATGATGAAAGGGGCGTGCGTCCGTCTTTTCCCGGGTCTATAGTGCCGTAGCAGTCAGGTTTATTTGTTAATTGTTTTTTTTTTTTTTTTCAAGTTGATCTAAATTCAGGACCTGTTTTAATGATTTTATAATGGTTAATTTAAATTTAATCAGACTACAATACTCATTGTTTTACTTAATTTAATTATCAAAAAAAATTATCTTAGTAGTCAGTGTAATATACTCAGCAGTCTGATCCTTGACGGTCCGAGCTTGAATACAATCACAGTAGCGATTGCTGAATTGGAGAAGGATTCATCAATCTCTTGGTTCAAATCCTAATGAATCTCCGATGTTTTTAGAAAAAAGTCGGGAGGAGATATTGTCAAAGCAACGCTTGATTTACTACACTTGGAAAACATAGTTTCATTCTTGAACAAGCAAAATCTTAGTTTTTGCAAGCTGACAGGGATGTATATCCACCGAGAAGCTTATAATTAGTTTTGATTTTTTTTTTATTGTATTCGTTTTTGAAAGCATTTTTTATGTTAATATATTAAAATAAAAAATAATTTATTAAAAAAAACACTTTTCAATAGGATCAGGCGGGGCTGATACGGAGCTCTTCAGCAAGCTTTTTAACTCCACTAATGGTGACACGACTCGGGGAAATCAAAGTCCTGGATCTTCCAGTGGGGGGCACTGCAGACCCCAGCCATACCTACATGGTAGATACTCCTTTACTCTTTTTTAGCTCCTACTCAAGGTCTAAAAGTTGCAACCATGAAAATCGACAAATCTCTTGGCTCTCCCAAGGTGGATATTGGTGACACCAACTAGCTCGTGCTACATTTATTTACCCATCAGCTCTTTTGTAAAATATAAGAGTTGATTGTATATTTCACCCTTCTAATCATGACATTTTTTAATGTTATTATTTAACTTTTATTTTTTTAAAATATAATTTTTAAATTAATATAAATATTTGGGTCAACTTACATATATATATTAATTAATTTTATAAATTATAAAATTAATAATTATATAAATTTTTAATAATTTTAAAATTTATAGGACTTGAACTAATAAATTTTAAAAAATAAATTTAAAATTCAATCAATTAAATTATATATTTTATTTTTTTAACACTTATTTTTTTTAGATTAACATAGGTGTCTGAGTCAGCTTGTGTGCACCATGACTAATCCCATGGATCCTAAAGTTAACGACTATGCAAGTTTCCGGTAGTTATCATATAAGCAATCAAGAACTCGAACCTGAGACTACAAAAAAAAAATTTCTTAATTTTAAATTTTTACCTTTAACCATCACCTAAATAATTAAACTCGTATTAATGATGGAAGGACCACAATCTTAG